GATCTGATTCATCTGTTCAGCCAGTGCAGCACCAAGACAGTGGAAGAAAAATAAGTCATGCTGAAAAATTAGTGCAACTGGCCTCACACATGAGAGAACACGAACAGATTCAATAAAAGCCAACAAAAATCCATTTAGTTTGCAGGGACTGCATGCAGCTGTGTGCACCAGGACCAGGATTCTGGAAAACCTGCTCTGTACTACCCAGGAGTCCCCATCTCCAGTGGATGACAGATGATACACCTGTCAGATTTGCAAGAAGCAATGGGAGACAATAACAGGGTTAGACCATCTCTGGGTGGTTCTGACCCCCTGCACACACAGGGGCCCCACTGCACCATCCCCCCTGCAATCCCTCTGTGCCACCAGCAGCAGTGATGCCACTGTGGTGCCAGGTGAAGGAATTTGGCAGCAGGCAGACATGAGTCATCTCACCTGCTGAAACTTCTCCCCATCACGGAGTCCTGCAGGCCCTCAGACAGGACAGTCTGCATCCCCATCAATTCTGGGCATTGTGAAGTCAGTATGGAAAACCTGGCAGGTGGAGCTCATGCTGACACCTCATTTGGAGCTCCTCTGAACTGTCCTGGTCTTGTTGGCTTGAAGGCTCTGTGTTGGTTTTAATGGGGCTTTCATGAGCCTCGTTTCAGGAATGAGCACAGCTGCTGGTGGTGCAGCACCCCAGGGAACACCCCTGCATCTTTCCAGAGCACATCAATGGAGCAGGGCTCTCCAGCTGCTCTCTGGGCTTGGTGTGAGGCTGTGAGCTCTGTGAGGGACTGAACTGCCCCCCTGGTGCAGGTGTGAGTAACAAAGGAGAAGGAGGAAAAGGCTGATAATCAAAGAAAAATAAAATAGCAATAAAAGATCAACCCTCCTGTTCATGCAGCGTGAGAAAGTACTAATGGTTAACTCACTCTCATTGTGGAGCAGAAGGAAAAAATGGAATTGCAGAGGGAAAAGCGAAGTTTACCTGGCAAAGTGAATTTGTCATTCACTCTGCCAGATTACTGCTGTTATTTGCTCTTCACTCCTAGAGGGATAAAGAGAAATCGTGCAAATGACCCTGGGCTGTGGCACAGCCCCCTCTGCACTCACACACACACACAAAGAGGATGCAAACACAGCCTTTGAAATCCAGGAGGATAATTGATGCTGTGACGGTGGAAGCCCACGGGACTCCTGGGGGAGCTCAGGTATAAAAGGCAGAGATGAAGCTCCCTGGCAGCCAGAGGGCACCGGGAGCTCCGGGAGTGCCCTCCGTGCCCGGCACAGCCCGCGGGCTCCCGGAGCAGCGCCCGAGGAGAACCTGGATCTGCAGCCGGGGAAGGAGCACCTGGGCACGAGCTGATCCAGGCAGAGCTTGTTTCCTCCAGGAAAGGTAAGTGGGAGCCTCTCTCTGTGCATTTAACAAGATAATGTCTAGTTGGAAGTTGGGGACAGTTAAATTCCACTGAAATGCAGTCAAAGCTGGCATCAGGAATGAGCTTTGCCAGGTGCCTTTGTACCATATCAGGATTTATACCAACATGTTTTTGTACCAACCTATAGAATGAAGCAACAATTGAGCTACATCATAAATGCAATCCAATGGAATTATACTATAGATGAACTTTATAAAGCATGTTAGATGGGCTTTACAAAACATATTAGATGGGCTTTATAAAACATGCCAGATGAGCTTTATAAAACATGCTAGATGATTACCAGCTGTAGCACAGTTCCTCTCTTTTGCTATGTTGATGTGAGTTTCTTTTTCCCTGGCAAATGAGCGGTGTTTTACTCACCCAGCAATGAAACTGTGTTTGAGCCAAAGCAAAGTGTGAGGAGGAACACAACTCAGTGCTACAGGTAATGCAAAGCCAGCCTGGGCACCGGGAGGCACTTAAAAGGATTTCTGCTTTTCGAATGCAGCATTTCAGGGGATGAAAGTTTCAGCTTTGTAAAACAGCAGGCATGGCAAAAGCTTCATTTCATCTACACAGAGGTGTTTTGAAGACTGCTCAGGTTGAGGTTTCAGAATTGGCCAGAGGCAGTTACCCAGCTCTCCAACATCCCTGCCACAATGCTGCTGTTCCCAGTGCACAGGATGGAACAAAGCTATTACACCTCATCTGCTGGAATGGTGCTAAAAGCTCTTCATCTTAAGGGAGATTTATTTATTAATCATTTTTGCACATGCTGCCAGAATGGGAAGGGAAGATGTCCCTCACCTCAGGAGAATTTCGAAGGTGACAATGTTTTGCAGAGCTGTCGAGCTGCCTGCACACAGGGTGACACTTCCATTTCCCATCTTCTCTTCTGAAATAGCAGACACATCTGGGAAGAGATGTAGAACTTTCATTTCTGATTTATTCCTGAGGGAAAAAGGGAGACAGACATACCCCAAAATCTGGAAGCAGGCTAAGGGGGAGAAGACAAAGCAGGATAGGCGAAGAAGAACAAAGCCAGAAACAAAGAAAAAATAATTTCAAAGGAACTAATAGTAGAGAAATTTAAAAAAAATCTCAAATGTTCAAAAAGCAATTCTAGAGAAAAATCCAGCATTTAAAGAGAAGCCAGAGACAGAAAGAAAATGGTAATCAGGGCAGTGTCCTAGGAAGGGGAAGCAGACAACATTGGGCATTTACATTAGCACTTAACTTCTCAGTTCACACAGAAGCTTCTCTAATACTGATTACATCTCCTGTTGGCACTTTCTATAGATGCTGGTCTGCTGGCACCCACTGGTAGATGCCTTAGATAATTTCCTCTATCTAGAAAGATCTGACTTGGGATTTTCTTGAAGATATTTAGGGAAGAGGACCAGAAGCAGCATATTTTTCCAAATTCCAAAGAAAAAGTCAAAAAAGAAAAGGAAGCAGGGGATTTGTTCTAAAAGCAGAAGTCCTGTACATCTATCAAAGTCCCTCTAAGCATTCCTTGGCTCTTTGGGGGTCCAAAGTGATTGTGCAGGAGGAGGAGATGCCACCCATGAGCACAAGGAGCTTTGCAGGAGCTACTGTGCTATTCCCAGGGGAAATGCTGGGGAAGATGCTGGTCCCATCTGGGAGCACAAGTAACTGGAAACAGAGCCTGGGTGAGAACAACTTGGTGATAAGAAACCCCATTCCTTAGAGTGACACCTTTTCCATGTCTGTCTGTGCACTTTTGGCACTGCCACTAATTCTGTCATTAACTTGCCTGGTGTCAACACCAGACCCGCTGCAAGAGCTCAGGTCCTCAATCAGCCTCCCCCTCTCTGCTCTGCCCAAGCAGAAAGGAGAGCTCACTGGTGATGTTTTCCAGCAGAGAGCCTCCCTCCCTCCTCCCCCGTGGGTAAAACCCACTCCTTGAAAGTTCATTTGGGCAATCAGAAGTCCAAGCAAGCCCTTTCCATCTGGGAGCTGCTCCTTTTACATGGAAGTCTCGTTATACATTTGGAAGAGAGGTTTTTTCCCTCCTCTAAGGGAGATCAAACACCTTTCTGCTCTTTTCTTGTGTATAATAAGATAGGGAACAGGGAAACTTGGTATTTTAAAGGTTCCTATCCAGACTCTTTAAGAATCTTCTTTGAGCAAAAGATCAGTCGCTTTCAATGGAAGCTGGGCAAGAGCGGCATTCACTGAAACACCTTCGTCCTGTTGCTGCTTCCAGGGACAAAAGCTCGGCGTTCAGCTCGGTGTTCAGCCCCCGAGGGTGGGTGACGCCGGGCTGCTCCGGCCTGAGTCATCCTCAGCCCTTCAGCCAAACCTGGGACACAAAAACTGCACCCACGCCTGAGCCCGGCTCACTGCTCAAAGCTGGAGCTGCTGTCCACAGCAGCAATGCAGCCCTCCCAAAGGGACATATTGACATATTCCAGTCCTGTCCCCTCTCCAGAGCAGCAATGCAGCCCTCCCAAAGGGACATATTGACATATTCCAGTCCTGTCCCCTCTCCAGAGCAGCAATGCAGCCCTCCCAAAGGGACATATTGACATATTCCAGTCCTGTCCCCTCTCCACTGAAGGAACAGGCTCTGTTTTGTGTGGCAAACCAAGCCCAGCACGTGCCTTTGATAAATGGCTTTGCCGGGGGTACCTCTGTGCCTGTATCGCCCCTCTGCCCAGGAGTTTTGTTTGGATTTCCCTGTTTCTCTCCAGCCTCTGGACAGCCAGAGGGGCAGCCCAGGCACAGAGCTGTGCCCTGCAGGTGCAGCCATGAGAGCAGGGTAGGTGAGGTCCCAGGGCTGGCTGCAGAAGGTTCTGTGCAGGTTCCTTTCACATCCCTGCCAACTGCTGCCCTCATCCAGGTGCTTTCACAGCCCTGCAGGGGCTCCTGGGGCTCACAACAGCCCCAGAGAGAGCTCCCGGTCAGTGAGGGGCTCCCACAGCACCAAACCCTGGCAGAGCAGACCCAGCTCCAGGGCATCACACACAGCCACTGCCCTCCACAGGGGACACTGTGCCACACGAAGACAGTTCTGCCTTGGGAAGCACCACAGCCTCAGAGGAACATTTCCAGTCCCTCTGTGCTGAGAAATGAGCAGAGGGACTTGTGGAATTTGCAGGCAGCCCCAACATGGGAAGAGATGAGAATCTTGACTCCATGTTTCAGAAGGCTGATTTATTATTTTATTATATATATTATATTAAAAGAAAATTATATACAAAAACTATACTAAAATAGTAGAAGAAATTCTTTCTTCAGAAGGCTAGAAAGGAATAGAAAGGAATGAGAATAAAATCTTGTGACTGAGCAGAGTGTCTGAGACAGCTGGGCTGTGATTGGCCATTAATTAAAAACAACCACATGAGACCAATCACAGATACACCTGTTGCATTCCACAGCAGCAGATAATCAGATAATCATTTTTTACATTTTGTTCCTGAGGCCTCCAGCTTCTCAGGAGAAAAGATCTTAGCAAAAGGATTTTTCATAAAAGATGTCTGTGACAGGGACTGAGAACACAAGGGTGGCACTTGGCCTCCCTTCAGTGCCCTGACTCAGCTGCTCTGCATTTTAGGTGACTCCAAGGGGTGGAAGATGCTGGATAAGGCCACTCTGCTCCTGTTCCTGCATTTAGTCTCATGCTCCACCTCCTCCCCTCTCTACCCAGCTCTCAGGTAAGTGCTGAGTGCTTTAACCACACTCACCCTGCCAAACTAAAGCTGCCAGCACTTCTGAAAGCCAGGTGAGCTCCAAATGTGTTTCTAGGCCTATTTCTCTGTCCTCTCTTAATTTTTTTAGGTACACTGCTGGCCTAGGGGTGATTTCCAAAGAAGGCAGGCACCTGATGGAATATTTCAGCCCAAACAGTTGGGTTTAGAATTGAATGCTGGGTTCTGTAAAGGGAAACCTGGCAATCTCCAGAGCAGACAGCAGCACCTCCAGCCCAAACACTGATAAAAATTTGTGGCTGCAGAGCACCTGCATTGAAGTCAGAACTGCAGATATTCGAGTACATGAAATCTACAGATACCTATTAATATTTCAAGTATTTCCTTGTTGGGTCTTACAAGTTGCAACACTGATTTGTACTTCAACAATGAATAGAAACATAAAAATGAGTGTTGGCTTCTCTCATGTGGATTTGCAGTGTCCCATAGAAGATGCTTTAGCCTTGTGCCAAAGCCACGGCACAATGACATCAGGAGCAGTGGGATTCTGCTGGGAGCTCAGTGAGGGGTGTGTGTGTTTGAGGCAGCTCTACAAACCATCCTTCCACTGCTGGGAGAGCTTCAGGGCAGTTTCTGACTGGGGAGACTGACAGACAGCACTTGTGTTACTGCTAAGATGGGATGAAAAATAGAGAAAAAACAAGCAGGGGAGTAGGGAATGGTGGTTAAGAAGACTGAGCCCCAGCTGGATCTGAGCCCATCCCACAGTGTGCCTGGGGTTTCTCTTGCAGGTTCAGCCCAGGGCCGGTTGCTGGCAAGGCCGTGAGCTTCCAGCTGCAGCCCAGCAGCTCCCTGCAGAGCCACAGCCCCCTGGCACAGGAGCAGCAGGAGGAGGGCTTCCTAACAGACCCCACTGAGAACAGGTTGGTGCCTCACCTGCCAGCCCTGCTGCTGCTGCAGAGAGTGCTGGTCACAGCCCAGGAGCAGCTCAGTTAGTCCCAGACCATCACCCCTGTCCAGAGCCATGCCCTGCTGTCCCCACCAGCAAGGACACACTGACAGGGGCAGGCTCACAGGCCCAGGGCTCCTGCAGGGAACAGAATTGTCCACTGAGCTCTGGGTCTCTATCTGCAGGGATGCTAGAGCCTCTGCTTTCCCTCTGCCTGGAGACAGAGGATCATTATTTCTGTCTGAAGCACTGGGAACTCATCCTTGGAACTGTGGCACCAGCCCAGGGGTTTGTGCTTCCCTTACCTGTGGATTTTCTGGAGCCTGGGTCTAACCACAGCCTAGAGATGTGCTGGGGGCTCTGTCACCCTGTCCCAGACACAGCCCTCCCAGGAGGAGCTGGTGCTGCTGCAGAGCACAGGGACAGCCCAGCCCAGCCCTGCCCCAGGTATTTCATTTTCCCTGCTGCCTCCATGTCAGGACTGAGCTCCCTCAAATCCTTTCACCCTCCAACACTGATGCAGTCCCACACTACCAGGTGTTTGCTGTGGTGACCTGCCCTGGAATGAGCCCTGTGACATGTGGGCTGTTCAGTTTCTCTCACTGACAGCTCAGAGATCAGCCTGTGCTTCCTTCCCTCCCCAGGATGCAGCGCCACGCTGATGCCATATTCACTGACAACTACAGGAAATTCCTGGGGCAGATTTCGGCCCGAAAATTCCTCCAGACCATCATTGGCAAGAGGCTTGGGTAAGCCCCAGCACCCCGCTGCCCTAGGGCTGGGTTTTGCCCATTACCCTGGGCAGTTTTCCACACACCTGGCAGAATTGGCTGCCTTTCAATGCAGCAGAACCAATCTCTCCTGCTGCTCCACATCCCAAAGGGCATCCTACATCCCTGCATCTTGGATACCCCTAATCACAGTTATCATCCTAATTAATGCTTTCCTCCAAGGCTGTAAGCATCAGATCAGCTGAGAGCTCTGCTGCAATACCAACAAGTAATAATATTTGCTGGTAATATTTGCAATGATCCATCATTGGTATGGAACCTGTAGAATTTGCAGGCAACCCCAACATGGAAAGAGATGAAAATCTTGACTCCATGTTTCAGAAGGCTGATTTATTATTTTATGATATATATTATAGTATAGTACGTTATAGCATATTCTATTATTTATGTGCTATTATTTATATTCTATTATTTCTATTATTTCTATTATATATATTTCTACTGTTGATATTATATTATATTTATAGTTATATTATATTTATAGTATTTATATTATATTTATATACTAAAACTATACTAAAAGAATAGAAGAAAGGATTTCATCAGAAGGCTAGCAAGGAATAGAAAAGAATGATAATTAAGTCTTGCAACTGACCAGAGAGTTTGGGACAGCTGGGCTGTGATTGGCCATTAATTAGAAATAATCACGAGACCAATCACAGATGCACCTGTTGCATTCCACAGCAGCAGATAATTATTTTTACATTTTGTTTCTGAGGCCTCTCAGCTTCTTAGGAGAAAAGATCCTAATGAAAGGATTTTTCACAAAATGTGTCTGTGACAGGAACCATTATCCCTGGCCTGGTTTGAACACAGAAAACAGCCTCTCCATTACCCTTGGCTACTTAGATCACTGACTGCCACTGAACAAGACCAACTGGTCAGATGCAAGCCAGTCCAACCCATCTTCTAACAAAGCAGCAAATACAGTGCCCAGTTCTTGCTGAAATTAAGCAGTGTCCTTAGGCTCAGTCCCATCAGGCTCCCTTTCAGTGCTGAGCCAAACTTGGAGTGAGGGACAAAAAGCATGTCAGAAACAAAGAGATTTCTCATCTTCACCCACCAGAAGCAGTGGGAGCAGCCCAGGGGAGGGGCTGCAGGAATTCCTGAGCCGGCGCCAGTCCGACAGCATCCTGATGGACAGCCAGTACCAGCAGCAGATGGTGCTGAGGGACTTCCTGGGAGCCATCCTGCAGAGCCACAGGTGGGTGGCAGTCAGCTCATCCTCTGCCCACTGCAGGAGCACACCCAGCTCCTTGTCACTGCTGCCTAACAGGGGTGAACATGCTGAATTAAGGGTCCTTTCAGGGAAAGAATAAGGCTGAGCTCACAAGCAGGGTGCAGATAAGAACAGCCTGCACCACACAGCTGCACATAACTCTGCTGTCTTCTCAGCCTTGTAATCCAGTCAAATAGCAGAAAAGAGAATTTCTCTCTTGATGCCAGTGATGCCATCCCTGTCCTCTTCCTTGGCAGGCCTCAGGACATTGACAGCAGTGGCCTGGAAGGCTTTTCCAGCACTCTGGCCAAGCTCATGTAAATACTTCTCCCTTTTCCACCTCCCCATGCTCTGGTGAGTACCATTCCCTGCTCAACCCTGTGCCTAACTCACTGCTGCTGCACTGCTCAAGGTTTGAAGGCTCTCCTTCAGCAATGCCAGCTTCCACTGCTGCCCATGAAAAAGGTGCTTGCTGCAATTTAAGGGGGGAAAAGCTCCCAATAATATTGTCAAGTACCTAAAACCCTGCTAGATTGAACAGACAGAACACAAGTGCTGTGGAGCTGCATGTGGATGCCTGGGAACAGGTTTGCAGCAGCACAAAGCATCCTTGCAAATCTATCTGAGATGGGGTGCCTGAGGGTCTAGGCCAGGCTCAAGGCAGACAAAATCTTTCTCCAGCAGCAGAACCTGTCTCTAGGTCCCTGGGACATGTCAGGATTCCCTGCACTGGATAGCAGAGAAAGTTTTACTGTTTTCTGTATCCCTCACTCCTGAAAACAGCTGGAACTTGAATTATGCTCCAAGTCTTGTCATTCCTGGGGGAATGAGAGACAGCACACCATCCATCTTTGGGAATACCTTCCCTTGATCAGCTGTCCCACAGAAATGAAGCCTGTCCAGTCCTGCCAGCACAATAGAAAGGGGTGTGGGAGAGATCAGTGTGCACACTGAACAAAAGAGGGGCTGGGGAAGAGAGGCAAGATCAGAACTTTACATAAATCACACAGCTGTGAGAGCATAACATTCCAGCATCTCCCTTGCCATGCTTGACTTGGTTACCTTTCCACACATCAGGTCAGTCAGGAAAAGCCTCCAAAGGATGAAAAAATGTCTGTGTGTGCTTATGAAGTTTTCTGGTAATTCTCTTTTCCTCCTCTTTCTGTCTAGAATAATTCAGAGCTCATGGACCAAACTGTACAGTGAGCCCTTCATGGCTGTGAAGACACTCCCAGATGTGAGCAGCTGGAACCTGATGCACACACTCCTCAGATCTGATCAGAGGAATGCAGTGCTGAAGCACTACTTAATTTACTCCAGTCTTTACAATTTAACTCCCCTCTTGAAATACTGCTCTGTACTAAATCAGAAAAAAACCCCCTCTGTGGTTTAACCTCAGGCTGCTTTACACAGAGACTAAAACAAGTGATACACTTGTAATCCTGGGGACATCTTGTCTGCTAATTAAGGTTTCTAATCACAAAGTGCGGCAAAATTTCTGCCAAGTCATCTTTCTGTTTGAGGGCCTGATTAATAAATACGAGGCCACCAAAAGGCACCTTCAGGCAACTTAGTAAATTGATTACAGCGTTCTCTAAATTGATGCTGATGGCACAGCCACACACAGCAAGGATCAGGGTGCGGTGAGAGATGAATTCACACATCTCCCATTCACTGGAAACACTGCCCAGGGCTGCTGCCTGCCTGCCTGACACAGAATAAACTCTAAAATGCTCAGCTATGGTTCCTGCTCAGCCTTGAGGAGTTCAAGCTGAAGTTACAGCTCTGCCAGAGCTAAAGGAGATCCCTGTGCATCAGATTGGGCTGTCACTGTTTCAATTCAACCTCCTATTGCAGCTGTAAATGTTTTAAAGGAGTAAGTTATTAGCCCAGTGATCTCATACAGCTCCTTGCTCCCTCTCACCCCAATCCCCCTGTGGTTTGTGTAATTGTCTTCAGAAATGTAAATAACATCAGGATGGGGTCTGCTCTCCCATCAGCAGCAGGAAATAAGAGTTGTTTGAAATAAACCTGTCCAACAGCAGGTCAAGATGGCTCTTTTGTTGAGACCTTAGTTTCTTGAGGAAGATGCTCCTCAGGGACAGGTGTCAAGTGCACCAAGGATGACTCAAAACTGGGCTAACAAAGGCACCAGCTCCAGTACCAGTAACAACACCAGGCTGGAAACACAATGATATATAAATGTGTTTTAAGATCCATGAAATATTCCCTCCTTGCACTCCAACAATTCCATGTTGGTCTGCAGCAGTTACCATCTCATTTTTCCTCAGGTGCCATGTTTTAGGATAGGAGGCTCAAGTGTGCATAGAAATGATTTCATCCTTGCACAACTCCCTCCCTGTTCGAGCCTGTTCAGGTTTTACAATTCCAGCTCCAGGGAAGGGTTACAAAGCACCCAGCAGGATGGGGAACACTGAGGGGATATTGAGGGAGAGCAGTGAAGCTGTGACAGCAGCAGGAGCACTAAAGGATAACTGCTGCCCTTCCACAGGCCCTTCCTTCTGCTCCACAGTGCAGAAATACACAAAGGAATCACCTGAGTAGCCTGGTCCAAAATGGATTTCTAAACATATTCTGTAACAACACACTCAAAGCCATTAGGACTTACTACAAGGAAAGGAATTGCAAACAATGAAAAAGATTCCTAAAGCAGTAAGTAGACAGAGTAGCAAGATGAATTTAAACTCTGTTAAGTGGCATAAAAGGCATATGCAAACATTGGATTGGATACTGCCAATAAAATCAAAACCCTTTCAAAAATGTTTCAGAAAGTGTTTGGGTGATTAAGTCTGTGATTAAATGGATGGGTGAGTGCAGCTATTTGGAATAAAAGAGACTCCTTTGCAGGTTCAGTTTGCTTCAAAATAAGGAAACAAATGCTCAAACTCTGTGAGATTAAATATAAAAACAAAGCAAATAAAAAATATCTGAGGACTAAATGACTAAAATAATAAAAATAATCTTTCCTAATCCATAAGTAGTACAATCAATAGCAACACACACAGCTTAGAGAAGACACATCACAGGGGCACTCCATGTTTCTCCTTTTGCATCCCTGCTCTCCTTGGATAAAATGCTGCAGCTCTAGAGGCACAGGGAAAGTTCTGTCCTAGCACAAAGCATCAGCAGAAAGAATTAGTTACAAAGCTTCTAAGTGAGCAGTAACAAAATACAGGGCTAAAAAAATATTTCAGGGTAAATGACTATGAATAGTTTTGTTATTTCTTGTCTAAAACTCCTTTAGTCCCAGAGGACTTGAATGCAGCCTGAGATCTGGTGTTGAAAGAGTGCAGGGGAGGTCACAGAAGTTCATGAAACCCCTGTGGGCCCACCCTAACGTTCACACTGCAGCAGCAGGTAGGAACAGCTACAAAGAGCAGGAACAGTGAGCTAAGTGTGAGCAACAGCATGGGGAGCAGACAAGGCGGGTTTAATAAAAGGGGGGTCACGTCTCACACACGTGAAATGCTTTGGAGGATTCAGCTCCACGCCCTCTATGCACATGCTTGCTTGCTGATGTAATTTTCCTGGATTTCCAGAAGACTTTGATAAGGTTCCTTTGCCAAAAACCTCTAAAGCACCTACCCTTGGCAGAGGATGCACAGGAGCAGGGGAGGGAGCAAATGTTAAATTTTCCATGTGAAAGTTGCTCAGCAGGAGGAGATTTAGGCCTTTGGTTATTACTATCTGTGAGTCCTTCAGTAACACCCAAAGCTGCTGCCCCAGCACTGCTTGGTGGTCCTGAAGGGAGTAATTAGGTGGGAAATTGGAGTTTGAGTAACTCAAACACAGCCACATGGCAAGCAGCACACCTGGCTGTGATTTCATAGGAGAGCAGAAGCAACAACTCCATCAATCTGGAGTGAGAAGGTCACTGCCAGAGGCTGGGAAGAAAGTGCAGCCCCCACAGGACCCCCAAAGCTGCTGGGTCAGACACAGCCAGGCACAGCAGCACTGCTGGCTCCCACAAGGCTGAGCCCCAGGGCCCAGAGCAGCTGGGCACAGCCTGGAGTGAGAGACAAACCTTCAGTGGAGAAAGCAGCCACAGCCTCACCCAAGGGCCAGGCAGGAGGGAAGTGCCCCCCAATAAACACAGCCCCCAGGGAAAGGACATGAAAGAACAGGAAGCTTCACACTCAGCCATGACTCACACACAAAATTACCCACCAGAAAAAGCTCCTTTCATTCTCATGAGAGCCCAGCTTCCAACCACTGCCTCTGAGACAGACAAAACACAACACTCAGGACCATCCTTTCCTCCTCTTTATTCACAGATCTTTAGGATGAGGAAAGGGCACCTGGGGAAAAAGCAGATTTGTATTTTCTTCTTCCTTTTTCTCAAAAAGAAATTCAAATGTCCTGGGAGAAGGGGAGAGGATCCAGGGAAGAAAAGATTTTCCAGATTCATATGAAAAGCACTCCAGTAGCATGAACACAATGATGAAAATAAAGATTTTAAAAAAAGTTTAACTGGCACCCATTTGACTTAATATATAAAAAAAGAATTATCTTCTGCCTTCCTTCTTCTGGCCTTTCAGTTATTTATTTGCTTCTGAAAGCATTTGCTTTGTTTTTCCACATTTCTTCCATTCTTCTGGTACTATTGTGTCCTGGAAAGAAAAATAAAAAAATATTAACTCTTCCAGGCAACAAAGCACTGGCCTGTACAGTACAAGTGTCTCCAGACCCCTCATTCTCTCTCAAAAGCAGCTTGTTGGACAAAATTCCCCAAAGCAGCTTATTTGAGTGATAAACCAGCACTGCTCTGGAATGGGGGATGGAATTCAGGGAGCATGGAAATGGTCAGAGAAAATGAAGATTAATTTCTGGTGCAAAAGGCATGAATGTGCCTATTAAATTACAGAACTGAACAAAGAAAAAACAATCCAGGCTGAAGGCAAAACCTGCAAGTACCTTAACTCCTCCTTTTATCAGGGCTGATCCATCTGCTGGCAATTGTTGGTCCATGTTAACACAGAGATCTTCATCTCCCCAGGAAGATCAGGCAGGGTTAGCACAGCAAACCCAACTTTTGAGGTCCTTCTGCCTTCCATGATGCCACACATGGCATGACAGTCTTAACTGACACAGCTGGGGCATCAGAAAACTCAGCAGTGAGGGAAAATGCTTGTGACTGCACATGGCAGCAAAATCTAAATTAGGGTTTGTGGATATTAAGTTATTTGCAAGATCTTAGGGCAACAGACAGCTCAGAGAGCTGCAGCCCCTCTGCTCTGAGGGATTTGGGGATGCTCAGCCTGGAAAACACCCAAGGGAGCCTCACTCTGGCCATGCAGGACTCGAAGGGTTTATGAAAAGGGAGTCCAGGATGTTTTATACAGGCAGATGGGGCAGTGGTTTTAAACTGAAAGAGGGCAGATTTAGATTAGATGTTAGGAAGAATTTTAAAACTCAGAATGTGGCGCAGGTTGCCCAGAGCAGCTGTTGTTGCCTCCTGTCTGGAATTTGTTAAAGGCCAGGGTGGATGTGGCCCTAAGCAACCTGGTCTAGTGGATGGTGTCCCTGCCCATGGCAGGGGGTGGGAACTAGAGGACCTAAAGATCCCTTCCAACCCAAATCAGTCTGTGATTGGTGATCCTCTATGGATTACTTACAGCCCATTAGGAATGAAGGAGTTAAAATAGCAGGTTGAGGAACAGGAAACATGCAGGCTGTGGAGAACACACTCATGAGGCACTTGGTTACAGGCCACTAAAACACTGCAAACCACTGGCCCAAAGTGATGCTAAAGAGAAGCATCCAGGAGGCTGAACAGCAAACACAGCAGTCAAAAGGACAATGACAGCCACCTCCAGGTCCTCTCCAATAAATTGCTGTAGCTTGTTCTGTGCTCAGGTACTTCAAAACACTCCAGGGAGAGAAAAGACAGCAAAGGGTGTTTTTCTGAGGGACATGACGCCAAATTTTCCACAGGTAAAAACTGCAGACAGGAGCACAGTGCACACCTTTTGTGTGGCAAACCTCCCAGTGCTGGTTTTGATTTGCACCACAAAAACTGGGCTCCATTCAACTCCCCAGTGCCTGGAGCACTGACAGTGGATGTCAGGAGAAGCAGATGCTCAGATGTACCTGTGCAGCACATTGTCCAGTGATCTGTGTCATCCCAGGACCTATCCCACAAACTCTTCCTCTGCCCCACAACAAACCAGTGCACTGAGCAAGGAATGAAGCCCTCATGCAC